CACATGCTATTTCACATTCCAAGGTCCCAGAGTCACAATAGCTTTCAGTGGGGAGAACGGTAATTGTCTGTCACAAATGTAATAGTAGATCCTTCTCTGCCAACTCTTACTAAACAACTTAGTCGGTGAACATAGCTGCATAAGGTAAAATATAGAAGCCAACTCACCATACAGAGATCTTAATGCTAGTTAAATAGTAAGCGGTGAAAATTAAATGCTAATAAGATAAAGATAATCCATGTCAGTACAACAAAATTTGCTGGTATGATTACCTTGTAATGTCAAAAGCACAACCATAATTTATAACTATTTGAACTCCAAATGATATCAACTCCCTGCATATCACCACCATTCACAGTAAATAATCAGAATTTAGGAATGGAAATGATAGCGAAAGCTTTTACACTTCAGCTGGGTATATTCATAATATCCAATTCAAATTACATAAAAAAAAATCATAAATCCATAACCTCACTATCACTTCCCAATAAAACAGACATCTTCAAAACAAGATAATAAAAAGATGGCAACAACGTGGTGTTGCCGGAAAGATGAGATGCAACTAGGATGTGTGAAAGTTTGAACACACACTTGTAGCCATATCAGTTGCAAAAAAAAACAAAAAAAATCAACCTTCTGTTTCTTAAAATGCTCGAAGGCCTACATAGTAAGCATACAATAACATAAGACTAACCCCATCAATCTCCAAGTCTTTATAGTGTTTTGCACACACCAAGTTGATAACTGCTCAGGTTTTTTGACGTTCCATCTCAAGTTGGCACTCCCAAGAAGTATTGTCAACAACTAGACACTAAAAATTGCTCAGGATTCAGCACATGATTCAAGATTCAACAAAAAAAAACAACAGCTCAAAGATAAATTACATTGTACAAGAAGCAAAGTTATAGATGCATTGAAATAATATGATGTTAAGAGGCAAAAATTTCTAGAAGCGATCACACTAATTGCCAATGACAGAGAACTTTGAATATCTAAATTGACATTTTCATCATTTATAAAGAGCAGACAGCCATTGCCATTACCATTACCATCTGCTATATTTATAAGTTTGCCAAATTCAAAGCAAAAGATATAGCATGAGGAGAAATGTTTCAGTCATTAAGAAGTAAAAAAATACTCCAATGTTTCATAGATGTTGTTCTTATATACTCCAGCACATGCTCCCTTAAGATATTTTTTTTTCTAGCCATGTGTCCATGAGACTCCTCGCCTCTTTAGAATTGTCAAGTTATTATGACATCATACTCTCACAATGACAACTTATTATATAGATGTTAATAACAAAAACTAAATTAAATTACTTTAAATCACTATAGCTAACAAAATGTAATACTTAAGTCTACAATAAATAGCACAGAACAATAGCAAGGGGTTCACAGATCATTACATACTCAACCAATTAGTTAATAACTCATTCTTTTTTGAAAGTAGCACTTTATCAAACACTATCCACACTAACCATGGTTCAATTTTTCCAATATCACTTGCGAATCCAGGATCCTAACATTTTTTTTTTCATCTTAACTGTCTAACCATGCCTGGATGTTTGTCTCTGCTGCTGCTTCCCTGAAATAGTTTTCAATTTCGATCTTAAGTCATTCTTAACTTGAAACACTTAAATGATCATAAAAACTATCGTAATTAACATGAATTAACCTCTTGCTAGATAACAACTCACTTTTTCTCCATTCCACCTGATGTTGCCTCCTTTCTTTGTCCAACGAACTCACCACATTGCACCCGCCTTCCTCCTTGTTTCTCTTCCTAGCTCCCTTTGCCCAAAAGCTATTATAATAACAGTAAAACAGTTTTCAATTTCCATCTGACTCTGCTTTAATTATATGATGACCGACAAAAATAAAAAAAAAAAAAGAAAAAAAAGTACCATCATTTTAACTCAACAAGCCTTCTACGTCTCAATCGAGGGTCTTCTCGATCATGGCCATGGCAATTGGATTCCATCCACACAGATTCCAGACTTGCTTTTGCGAGACTCCTTCACAAGTGCATCTCCTTGCTCTTTGCTCTAAGTTTCAAATCAACCTCAATCTTCTTGCCCGATTTCTGTCATGATCAGCATGAGGACTACTTTTAGGGATTCATAGATAGGAAACCTTGGGTCAAGACTAGAGTGCTGGATCTTAAGGATTCAATTCAAGTGTTTCTCGTGGGTGATTTCTGCAAGATAAGTGGCGAATAAGTGAGGAATAAGCCTTTGAGGAAGACTATCTCATTTTACTATTTAAACCGACCATGTGTGGAGATGGGTGTCGGTTCATTGGGTAAGTCTATTAATTTTCTATTTAATATTAAATAATAACTGTTAATTATTGTAAAACCAAACAGTTATATCTATCAAATTTGTTATCTATTATCTGCTATTCACTTTTCACTATCTGCTATTTGCTATCCACTAGCCGCCCCCCGTTACCCATTATCGCTATCTATCATCTGCTACCCACTATCGCTATCTATCATCCGCTACCCACTATCCACTATTCATTGAATTTTAACTGTTATACCAAACAGACCCATATCAGAGGGAAAATAAAAGCAAAAGTAAAACCTACCAACAATGGTGGAGGCAAGATTTGAGATGATGTGCCAAATTTTTTGCCATTTAATTCAAATTTATGTCTAAAACAATATTCTCTTTAGTCTATTTTACTTGTGTTGATTTGATTTTTAGATAAAATTTGATTTGATAATTTTATATCATGAATAGTTGAAAATTAATTAATTTTTCTCCTAAACATAGTGCTTATTGAATATTTTTAGTTAGATAAAAGAAAAAACTTTACTTGTCATTCACTTATTATATAAGATCATCCACTTAATTAACATAAAGTTGATAGGGTAGGATAAGTAAAAAGGTCTAAAGGGAGTGACACATAGTTTTAAATTTATATTTAAAATTAAACTTGATCATGCTCAATGTGAAATATCATGTTCTTAGAAATTTTTAGTGTTTTTTGAATAATTATCTAGTTGTATTATTTATAAAAACAATAAAGAATAAAACACATCAAAAACCTATAATAAATTTGGAAACATATCACAAATTAGTATAGCAAATGACAAAATAAGTTAAACATAATTGACTCAATAAAAAATTATGAGCTAAAAATGAAGTTTTAATATTTGGTTGGTATAGAAAGACAACAGATATTGGTGAAGAGTAAGGTTTTTCAAGAACAGAGAAAGATGGAGGATATGACAAAGAAATGTTAAAAAATTAGAGATATTTTTGCCAATTTTTTTGTCAACAATATTAGAGATTAAAAAATAGTTTCTACATTTAATAGATTACCTTGAAGTGTTGCTAATTGTTAGGTCAACATTTTGTTCTGAATTTAATGATAAGATTTATAAAAAGAATAATGATAATTATTATTATAAATATTAAATAATTAGGAGAATAAAATAAAACTTAAGGGTGAAATTCTTAAAACACAAAGTTTGAGAACTAATTTAAAACTTTTCAAAAGATAGAGGGCTAATGGGCAGGAATGGTACTTGGATAAACCCTAGTGCAAATTGGTTCTCCAGTGGGGAAAAATAGTCCCATTGCAAAGGTGGAAGATGAGCTTTTTCTGGTCAATGAGCCGACTGCTCCACATGAGAGCTCACTTCCGTACTAGGCATGTTTTTAAAAGCTTACATTTTTTAATTTTTTATTAATTTTAAAAAGATTTTAAATAGTAAATTTTAAAAACTTTAAATTTGTGATTTTTATAATTTTTTTTATTCATTTTTTTTTATTTTTAAAAATAATTTTTTTTTCAATAAAAATTTATATTTATCACTTTTAAATAGTATAAAAGAAATAAAAACTCATATAAATTTCACCAAACATACTCTTAACTATGCATGATTGAGCCTTATGTGTGTGGATGGCAAGCTATAGTTGACTCGAGAATATGCTCTTCCCTTAATAAGGAGAAAGTCTACTATACAACAACGATACCACATCAGATGGTATCCCCATCCAATAACAAACTGACAGCCCATTAAATTTGAACACCTCATCATCTGATTCATCATCCACTTAAAGACAGCTCACTGTTCGGCAGTTACCACAATTTAACTTAACGGAGAAATTGTTTATCCTCCTAAAATAACTTAATCGTCCCTTCCCTATCCTCCCCCAAGTGCTCATCACTGACGAAAGCGGCAGTGACGATCTAAAGTTTTGCAGGATCCCTTACTCCCAACAAATTCCATCTTTCTTCTCTTTAATACCAAAAATATGAGTTCTTCTGATTTGTGAATAACGGGTTCAAGGAGATTTGTGGTATGGAAAACTTAGTGGTACACAAAAGAAAAAAAAAAATAGCTTTTTCAGATCTGGGCAAAAAAGAATCAGATTACAGTTTTTTGGGTTGAAAAAAAATATTAAAACTTTTTGGTGATGGGATTTTGGAGATAAAGCAACTCGATGCTTAAATTCGCCTAAATCCTAGATTAATACAAAGCTCTATGCACTTTGTTCTTGCGTTGTTTATTTTAAAAGCAAAAATTATCTTTCTTTTAATTGCTACAGTAGAGGTTAGAGATAAGTTGAAGACAGAGAAGGGGGAACTTCGCTTTTAACATGATACTAAAAGAAGACGAAATCTAAAAGACCCTTTGAAGTGTAAAATCCAAA